AAGTTATCAATGTCAATATTGTTTACTATTTACGTAACTAAAATAATAATACTATGAAAAGCATATGTAATCATAACTTTTTTTTGTTGGTCGAATATAGTCATAGTTATATGTGTAAACAATTTTCCTTTTCTTTACGCTTGTTGGCCAAAAATTTGAATGAGTTTGAGAAACACTGAAAAATGGTATGTGGAAGAAAAATTTTTGTGTCTATCTTCGATCTCTTACCATCAAATCTTCCTCTTGGTATGTCATAATGTGGAACNTGAACCTAATTAAAAAGCTAATTGCTAATCACAAATTTACAATAATGAATCATAATTTTTATTTTTACAAAATACATTTACATCTACACACAATCATTATATAACACATATCTCCACATCAATATCACAAATTGATAATAGCAAATTATAATTTTATTCGTATAAATATATCTGAACCCGCACACGGTGCGGGAAATCATCTAGTATTTAGTAAACTAAGAAAGAGTATACACTATTTGGATAATTTTTATGACTATTATACCCCTAACTTACATCGCTTGTGTCTCTCCGCTTAATCCAATCAACCACTGAATCCTATGAATTCTCCAGCGAATTCAAACCCCAAACCGTCGTCGGCACCCAAGGACATGCCTCTTTTCCGGTCTGTTTCGCTGCCATGATCTATATTAATAACGCTCACACAACATGAAACAAGAAACTGTAATTTCTCAAGTAAACATATAAATCATTATGAAAGTTTTAATAAGTTAGTTATCGTGTTACATTAAAAACTAGTTGTACGATACAAAACATGTAACTAAGACAATCTTGTACATATCCACACTTAGAAAAACCTTGTTGCTAGTATATTTGTATATGTTTTTATGGTCATATTTTTATGGTTAAATTTATGGATTTCTGAAAGTTATATTACTTAGGAACATAAACACATTATTAAGCTACTCTGTTTGACCCTAAATCTGATCACCTCTATAGCACTTCTCTTTCGCAATTTTAGCGCACAAATTTTTAAATCTCCTTCCTCTTGATGTCTTGCTTACCGTATATATGTATTTGTGGATGGTTAGTGCAAATGTGTTTTTGTCATGAGTGATTTATGGTATCTGTTTTATGGTTAGTGTTAATGTGGGTTTGTAAAGACTGATTTTATGGTTAGTATTTCATGGTTATTGCCAATGTGTATTTGTAAAATGTTTGTGGCTTCCTCAATTTTTTTTGTTTCTTGTTTTGCTTTGATCTCATAATACGACTTGGTCATGGACAAACTCATGATATGGACTTGGTTAACCAAATAAAAGTTTGGACAAGTTTCCATGTTAAATTTGGCCAAATTCCGATAAGTTTTTTATTCCATAAAAATTCACACAAATTTGTCCAATAAAAATACCCCAACATAAAATTTTTGGACAAACAAAAAAGCTAGGAACTCAAATTTTGTAGTTAGAACACATAGAAGGGAGACTTACATCTTTTGCAATGCCAGTCATTGGGTAAGCATAAAAAATCAAAGAATAACCCTTCACAGTAACTTCATTGGAAAAGATAAAATACCAATGATTAAATTTCGCACAAGAGGGATATTTTTCTCAATAACATTGTATACATAGACTGTGTGATGACTGATGAGGATTGTTTTCTCCTCTAACTCAGGAACATCAATGAATTGAACTGATGGCTGAAACGAGGCAATTAACCTAATTAGTTCTTTCCCCAACTCTATCTAAAATACACACTTTTGCCAAAGTATTGGGAAGTGTGTGTTTCGGACAGTTTTGGTTAAGCAGCTGAGTCACTCTTAACGTTGCTAATTAGATTAATAATACCAGTGCTTCCATATCGAAAGATGAAATATCCAAACAAGTCGTCAAAAGCATAATCAACTTTTAGCTTTAATACAACAAGAAGCAAAACTAAAGAACGCAACGGGTTCGGTCTCACAATGATCAACAATTCTACTGAGCTTGGAGTTGGGACCAACACACACCCAACTATCGTTCTATGTGGCTGCAGCCTTTTGTTTCTTGGGCATGCGGTAGTTGCCGACAACACAAGCATGGTCACGCTCGAACGGCTCAAGAGTCACCTGTTCTGCTGGCCTAAACTGCTCAAGCTGCAGCTTCTTCACCTCGCTCTGGAACACTGCTTCTGCTGGAACAGTAGAGTCAATGCAGTTGGCCTGAACAGAGAGGACATGTTTTATTTAGCTACAGAAAACAACAAGAACATTCTAAAAATTGATTTGATGTTTGTGAGGAGAACCTGAGGAAGGATAAAAGTACTGACCTTGATTGAGATAACAAAGTGTCCTCCGGTTTTGAGGAAAAATGAGGCATTCAGGGCCAAGATTCTTGCCTTCAAGAGTTGAGGCAAATAAATGGGTTTCAATCAAAGAACATCAACAGAGGAAACCAAGAGAAGCATATATCATTTCATTGCCGATTATGATGGAAATAAGAGTTCTCTAACATCAACCACATGAATTTCAAAATCACTTTAAAATGCAATGTCAAAAACTCGATGTAGCAGAGAAAAGAGAGTGAGTAAAAAACTGAAACAGGCTTTCTTCTAAGAGGAAAAACATATATTAAAATGAAGAGAAATAAAACCGTTTTGCAAGGTTAGAGCGGATAAATTTGGTGCCCG